GAAATACAATTTCATTTGTTAAAGAAGATAAATGCATGCAACCACTCATTTTGCATCATTACTGTTCATGCTTATTAAAGGTGATGTGAAAATTGCGTTCGGTTAATAATGGAATATAGACATTATAATACACGTGTTTGTGAAGGGAAGAATTATAAAGTATATTAATTCAAGAAATAATTAAATTAAAAACACTTGAGAAAACATGAATCTAAAAATCTGCAAACTAAAAATTTGTAAAAGGATTAATAATCGATGGAAGCAAGCAACTGTGATTCAAGGCGTATCAGGATCTATAAAAGTTTAGGATCGAATAAAAAGTTTATAAAATCAAGAATCTGCGAAATAACAGATGACACGTGTCGTTACGATCTTTGCTTTCCTATCTTCAATTAATTTCTATCTTCAACATTAAAATTGAACACAAGTAACTGATTATTTCAATTAAAGAGAATATCAAAGATGAGTCTGAAGATGAGTAGTTAAACATGTAAAGGGCTAAAATGTTTTGGATGTGCGGATCACGTGCCGTGGATGCATAGCATAGTGTAATGCACGCAATGTATCGCCGCATAACAATTGTGATAGCGGCTACCTTTTGAATGCGGGTTGCCATATTTCAAGCAACCGATTTTTTTTTCGGCTCACATACGAACGCGGAATGCTTGATAATTGGCCGGCCATTGCGGCGGTCGCATTGTGGGACCATGATGACGTACCGTCATGTAAAAGCGTGTAAAAAGACATATTCTTTGGCATCTCGCGAAAATTTATTGCTTTATTTTACTTTAAAGAACTTATATTCTATTAATAATAAAAAGCTGTACTATTTTGACTTTTGATTGCATTAAAATAAAAAATTATTAATCTTTCAATTCAAGTATTTTATGATAAAACAATTTTTGCCTAAACAATTTGTAATGTAAATTATGCTTTTTAAGTTGTTAAATATGATAACATTTTTATCTGTAACAATTAACCATCTTTATTTTATCTGTCTTATTGATTTTGCCATGTTAGATTTAGCATTATTAGTACTTAATTTAAGTACTTAATTTAAAAATATTTTCTTAATTTTTAATAAAAGCAAATTATAAGTATAAACTATAAATAATTAAATAAGTAGAGTAAAACATTAACTGCACTAATTAAAAAGAAAATTATTTTGATTTCTTTAATACAAATTTTGTACATATACTTTTCTATGATTTTAGATATAAAATATAATGTTTAGCAACTCAAAGAAACATAAGATTATGTTTATAATTTATATAAATATGTTATGCTTTTTTTTAGATAGAAATATATTCTTTCAAGCCTCGGCCCGCTTCTTCTTTTTATGGTCATTCAAATTTTAGAGTTTTCAGGAAGAAAGAGAAATATATTGTGCAAAGTGAGGATGCTGGAAGTGTTATGACACAGAAAAATTTTATTGTTTTTTTTTGTTACATGAATCGTGGCCTAAAAATTCGTCGAAAGAGGTGTGATCACAGATGAGGGTGTAGAGGGCCGTGCGGTTGTCCTCAGAGTAAAATTTTCACCGTTTCCTAGATTTCAGCAAGTATCCCGCGACGCCCAAATCCAGATACCTGAAATATACATAAGTAGAAAGAGAGAAAATCCATACATTCTTACATATAATTAATATTAAATGTAATTGTAAAAAGCCTCAATAATATAAACGTGTACTGAAAGTATAAATTTTAATTAATTCTGTTCCTATATAATTGTTTTTAATCGCATAAAACATATTTCTATCCAATCTTGGTGTACGTATATAATTCAGATTTTATTTTAAGAGAATTTTGCATTTATCTATATTAATATTTTTTTATGTTATCAATAATTAAACGCTGACAAATTTTATTTTTACCATAAATGTTAACTATCAAATAAACAATAATCAAATGAATTCGCTGAGAATTTAGCAATGTTGGAAATATTATATATCGATAGTTGGTCTTTAATTAAAGCTTTTTAGTTTTGTTTTGAAAGTTGTAATCACATATATATATATATATATACATTAATATAATTTAAATTATAATTTAATCATCATTAATACTTTGATATCTTTTGCATCAGATATATAGACTAATTAATACAAATAGATTTTATCGATAAATTACTTTTTTCAAAAAAGGAAATTACTTTTATTCTATTAATTTACCTCCTTCGCGCTGTAACAGTGCCACGTTTCTCCCTTTTTTCTAGCGTTATACGGCTTCCATCAGTAGAAACGAGTCTGGATGCAATTGCGGTCGGTTTTTCCGGTGGGCCAGTGGTTCCTGATGGCACGTTCGACAATAATCTTTTGCCCTGACGATTTTCTTTTGATTTCCTTCTGACATTTAAGTCCGAAGATACAACAATTTCATCAAATGTCTGGCCGAAAAATGCTGCATAAATATGGAGAAAGTTAAAAGTAATGTAAAAAACTCTGAAAGAAAGTACAATTTAATATATTTGAATTTTAAAAAATTTCAAATAAATCTTTTTTTGATAAAAATGAGAAAAACAGATAAATTCTAAAATAATTACATACAGTTTTTTCGAAGGCAAAGTAAATTTTATTAGAGACTCAATTATTTGCATTTTATATAATTTTATATTTCATATATATATATGTATCCACGTATAAAAGGATATAACAAAAATCTTTAAGAATCGTAAAGTTAATACATTTTCTTTAAACTTACGTTTTTCATTAGATGCTGTTTCCTGAGCATTGATTATGACACAGATTGAACTAAGTACCAAGAAGGCTAAAATTTTTTTCATTTTGCGACGGAAATTTTAATATGTCCAAAGATCGAAATTTTTGTTATCCTGAAAAGTAAACAAACAGAAACAATAACATACAAGATACATAAGACATAAAATAAAAATATTATTTCAATATGTTGTCATTCATATTATTAATGATGGACAAAATTATTATCAATATGTTAATAATTAGACTAATAGAATAACATTAGACTAAAAGTATTTTTAATTAATATAATTCTTTGTGTATCTACGCCTACGCAATGAGAAATTCTTAGCATCCATTGACTTTAGACAGAAGCGTTAAAAAGACCTTCGACGATTCCGCAATCACTATCCGTAAGAACACGAGTTCGAAGAATTACTAATTCAATCACTTTCCAGAGTGATCAGAGTTGGTAGAATCTTACGTAAAAGCAACAAGATTATGCAATTCGATAGTGTTATCGCAACCGGATGGTCAAGTTGACTTGAACAAAATATACACATTTTATACATGGATGTGATGTTCAAATATCTCTTACGAAAAGAATTTAGAAAAATCAATATTTCTTAAAAAAATATTCGCTAAGAATATTTTATGAAAAGTTTCAGCAATTAATTTTAATTGAATTTAAAAAGATTTATATAAAATTTCAGCAATTAATTTTAATTGAATTTAAAAAGATTTATATGCAAAATGTGTATCTTTAAGATAATAAATTAAATAATGTGATGTATAATATATTCTTTTCCTAGTCTTTCCATCGATTATTAAAAAAGAGTAATTGTATCGAGATCATATTCACGCGATCACATACAAATAATGAAGACGTGAAAAGATAAAGATATTATAGAATAAGTTAAATAACATTCGTTAAGATTTATAATATTTGTAAAGCCTTTTTGTATACTGTTTCGAATTCTTTGTAAATATCAAGCGAACACAATTATAATAATTGAATTTATATTATTTCCGATTTAATTTTACACCTCGGTCGTGATATCGATTTAAGAAGGCTGAGCGAAGGAATCTATTAAGTCTCATATCGATCTCGAAAAAAATAAATCGTATCGACTTTAGCACTACAATTGATTGATTCTTATCACTGTTTATCGCGTAACGTTCTTACTTGCGACCTCGTAAAACGATAGAAAACGAGATCCCTTTATACTAAAGTTCACTTATTTGTATCCCCAATGGGACCTCAGGGACTTACACTTAGTACTTAGCAGTACGTACATGACGACTTACCGGCGATATAAGTTGAGGATACTTTCCGAGTCGACAACCGCACGAGAAATGCGAGCACAATGACGCGGGAGCCTTCAAGAAAACATCGCGGGTTTGCTATAGTACGTGGAGAACAGGAACACGGGTACCACGAGGAGAAGGCGCTTTAAAAGAGTCATGTACTGTAGTTTGTTGCACCGGCCGGACCACTTTCTATTTCATTTTTTCCTCTCGATTCTCCCCATCTTTCTCTTTCTCTCCCCTTTGATTTTCTCTCGTTTTAGTCGTGCAATTCTTGTACTCTTTCTCTTTTTACACAGACGGAGGGACTGGTTTACCGGCTGGCAGGGCCGTAGGTGCCCAGGAGCGGCTAAATAATGGTTAACGACAGGATGGACCTTTAACGAGCTTCTCTCTCTTTGACGCATCTCAAGTATCGTAGATGTTATTCCTTTAGAGTAGACATTGCTATGATATAGAATTGTCTAAGGATCGCCCGATGATCCTTCAAGAAGATAACTTTTTTTATACACAAAGAAATTGAAATATAAATAATTATTCATTTCTAAGTAGATTTTATATTAATGAGATGATGATAAAATTAAATTATTGATTCTGGGCTATCAATACTTTCAAACATTTCATTCTTTTTAGAAAAAAGATGAAGTCAAACAAGTTTTTGTATGATTCTAAATAATCATATAAGGCATAATTTAATCAGTAATTTATTAAAATAATGGAGCATTTTGCTCCATAAATATTATTAACATGAATAATTAATGAACAAACATGATATTCTGAATGTTTAATCTCTTTTCTGACTGCCACATTTTCTACTATTTTTATTGAGATTATCATGAAGAAATATAAAAGAGACAATTTACAAAATTAATTAATTTATACATATATGTAAACTTATGACGGATATGAAATACAACTGCAACGATATTTGTTTTATATAGATAATCAATTTACGTACTGATATATTTGTTATAATTGTTTTTCTGTAAGCGATTTACACAAATGGTTCTAAGTAAAATATAAAGAAAATTTTAAATAAACACATTAAACATAATATCAATCGTTTAATTTTCATTTTTTATTTTTCATAAAATAATAAATAAATAATTTGCGTTTCGTTGAAGATTCGCGCATTCGTTCTCGATAGGGCTGTCTGAGAAAAGAGAGCGAAGACAAGAGGAGAGAGTATCCTAAAGCGGAGGATGCTGCACCGGCGAAGGATGCATGCTGTTCGTCCGGTCATTGCACGGGACTTTTCGGATCTTGATTTCAGGTCCTCGCTCTTTTACAGGGTCTTCCTCCTCCCTTTGGCTTTCTTATCCTTTGTGCCGTTTATCTAAAGACCCTTCGTCTCGCGACCCGGCGTCTTCTCCCCCCTATGTCATCTTCCAATTCCTCCATCCTTGCCCTTCTTGTATCGGGTTTGTCCTACGTCTCGCTTGTTGGTGTGCGAATCGCGGCGCTACATCGCGATATTTTTGTCAGTTTTATTTTGGAGAACATCTGGTAGTTGGCATGCGGACAAAGGAAACTTGCTCTCTCAGGAAATCTCAGGAGGCAAGGGGGTGGTCTCGCGCCCGTGGTTAAGCTTATTTACTTGTTCCTAGTGACGTAGAATGTTTGTAAACAATAGGCCCACAATAATGGCTGAGAAACGATGGCGACGAAATATATTAGGGATGCTTCGGGGCCAGTTCCTAGTGTCTGCGAAAGACAAAAAATAATTATTTAAAATATATTTTATATTTTTGTGTTTTCTTTCCACTAATTTCATATTTATATTCCAGTCTTTTGTACAAATATATAAATGTACGAAAATTATAAACATACGAAAAAATATAATAGAATAAATATATATAATTTTGAACGAAATTCAGATTTTCTATCAATTATTAAATTTAAATGTAAAGTAGTGAAAACAATAGATCAATTGATTTTTATTCAGAAAGAAAAAGAATTGTAAAGACAATGGTATTATGTAAAGAGGAAGAATGTATCATGCAAAAAAGGCAGATTTTATTTTTAACAGGGAGATAGCTGAATCATCTTGAATGAAAAGAAGCACATCTGACAATCCGCTAACTACATTTAATGATTGCGTAGAGAAGGTCGCGTTGGCATACCAATCATAGATTACATATGTTTAGAATTAAATTGAAAATGACAAAAGCGGATATATTATTTTTTTCTTGTGTCTCGATTACACCGCAACATAATAAAACGTTTACAGCGATGCAAAAATATTAAATAGACATAACATTAAATAGACATAGATTTGTAAGCGTAAGTCTGAACATAAAGTCCAGAAATGTATCGCAACCACAATTGTACAAAAACCATTTAGCATAACTCTAGAGATATATCTCAAAATTAAAAAAAATCCCTTTGTAAGAAAATAACTTTTATGTGTAAAATTTATGCATCGTCAGACTTAAAATTCAAAATCGGGATCATTCTCCATGATTATTTTCTACGTCGTCAATCCGGGACGACCTGATTTAAATTCGCTCGCGACTCGGGTCCTGGGGCTATCTGACTCCCCTCGAAGGAACAATGGCCATTTACTGCATGTCCAAGCGTCGCAAGTGTGTGCATAATCGACACTCCGATTCGCGTGTAGGTGCATCTCTCGAGAGATGAAAACGCGGACCGGTTCGCCGGACGCGCCGTCCGAGAGGAGAGAGTCTTATACGTATGGGCCTCAAAACAACAATATGGCGTCTGGTTGCGTCCCTTTAAAACGAGTTAATCCGTCTGTCTGGCCGTCTGCCGATCGCCTGAGAACCAAGAAGATTCATTTCCCCTTTGTTCATTCTTTTTCACACGTACCCCGAAAGGGCCATGCTTCAATGGCACAATACGCAAACGCCGCGTCAGCTCACATTCGCGGAGCCTTTCCGGACAGGTCCCATACAACGCACATACACACGCATACAGGCATATGTATAACACGCGACATGTAACTCGCTCGCTCGCGCGCGTATAATCGCCGCATATACACCCCGAAAGTGAAATACGCCCGTACTCTCCGACGAGGATTGTTGCGTTTTTCGAGGCCCGCCGAGCAGATGTTTCATTCGTGATCGGTCAACAACGCGGCACGGGTCGTTAGGGGTGCATCAAGATCGCGGCAATATAATGCGAATCGCGGATTCCCGGAGTTCGACCGCCGTGCTCCAGAGTTCATTGACCTTCGTCCGAGACGAGCTTGACGCAATTTCGTAGGCGGGCGCAGCCTCGCAATCTTGCAGATATTACGAGTGATGCGGCCACATCCTTGGACTTTGCTCCCTCTCAGAAAAAGCGAAAGATGCAAAATTAAGAGAGAATATATCTCCGTTATTCTGTCTATGATATAGAGTCATTGAACGAGAAGCTAACATATGTTCTCGTAATAATAAATTGTATAATTTTAAAGATATGCAAGAGAGAGATAATGGTTTCACACACAAGATATAAAATCTTGATAATTATAGCGAAAATTTTTGTAATGGAATAATTAGTTATTTTTTATAAAAATTTCTTCTGTCTTTTAAAATATAATTCTTTTCTAGTATATAATATAAATGTAATATGCTAATAAAAAATAATTCTTTTTTTTGTATATAATACGAGCGTAATACACTAGAAATATGAATTGATTAACTAATTGTGGACAAGAAAGATTATTAATGTAGTTGCACGATGAGACGCAAATGAAATCCTACTTAATTAACATATTTAATTCTTTACTTATGTATAATGCAATACATAAAATATTGATACTGAATACTAATAGGATATTTATACATATATAAATATAGTAGATTTTTAATTAATTTATTTGGATTTATAATTAAATACATATATTTTGGTATATTAAGATGAAGACTTCTATAATCGAAGATATACTTACTTTTTCAAAAATTTAAAATCCGTTGTATCCCGAAGAGGATTGAGCAGCGCTAAACGAAGCTGAGAAAGGCCCGATGTTAAAACTCGCACTCTGTGCATTAGCCCCGCTCTGTCCTCCGCCATAAGGACCACCTCCACTTATAGATCCAGCTGATGCTGAAGCGAAAGATGCTCCTTGTCCGGTATGATGATGGTTACCATAGTTCGGCTGCCATCTGCGTGAATCAGAAAGTAGGATGCAAACGATTATTTTTCTTGCATTATTCAATTATAAACATTTGTGGAAAATTGTAAAGATGTTAATTTAATTCTCATCATATTTAAAGAATTCATTATTGCTGTTTCAACTTGATATATATTCTATAAAATATAAATCAAATATTGTTCTCAAAAGTAACATCTATAATGTAGAATTTTATTGAAAAAAGTATTATATGTATGATGTATTAATTAGCTTTTAAGAAATCATGAAATGTTTAAATAACTCTCTCTCTCTAAAATATAAAATTAGATACTTTAAACAAAACATATATCTTGTAATTATTTTTAATTTGTATGTAATTTGTAGTAATTATTTTTTACAAAAATTACTGACAAAAAATATAATTATAGTATTAATTACGAGTAACAATTATAAATGTGATTATTAAACGATAATATTTATATACCCTCCATCGCAGCCGAAACGGCGACATCCATGAGGCCTATGATGATATGGTTTATGCAACTTTCGCTTATTTCCGAAAGGAAAATAACGTACATTGTCATCGTAATCAGAATAGTCACCATAATTGTTTAACAAACCAAATTGTGGAGATCTCTGTTCTCTCGTAGCAACTAGATAACATGTAATAGTTTGTTATTTATATTAATATTTAAATAATATCTGAGTGTCAGAACAAAATCATTAATATTACACAACTTTTTCAACTAAAAAAATAAAATATTATTGTTTAACAAAAATTTATCGTTATGTACATACCTTACAGTTTATATAAATATCACATAGAAAAATTAAATAAATTTGTGTATTGTCTTCATAATTAAAATAATTTTTTAAATATAAAATTTCTTTTTAAAAAAAGAAACATTTCCGTGTTACTATAAATTTATAATCATTATATAAAGATATAAAAGAAATCTCTCCATTACAAATTAAATAATCTTATTATTATAATTTATAATATACTATTATAGTATATTTTCAGTAAATTAATTATATTTAAATACTCTGCTTATTGTAAAAAATCTTGAATAATATTGTCAATTAAATTTTAATCACTAACCAATTTCAGATACATTGTTCACAGTTATTGGATCTAGCACATCAGAATTCGTTAACATTTCTATCGGTTTGCCGAGAGATTCTTTCAGAAAAAATACACCAAGCACTATTATTAAAAATAGACTTTTTTTCATCGTGAAACGAAAGTACCACTCTTAATTGTCGAACGTCTTAAAAACGATTCAAAGCTGTTCTTTCATTCCATATGCTTTTATAGGAAATCCTTTCACTGTCAAAATTCAAGGAAGTCACCTACAGTTTCATAATATCACTATTTCCATGCGTTAAAAAATGGTCATTGGTCTTCATAAAGTGGACGACCTTCCGTTCCAGGGACGGCCGGAAGTAGGCCGGAGACTAACATACATGTACGTGTATGCGACATAGAATCTTTATACTAATAGAGATATTAATGCGAGAGTTTGACTTTGATCAAACATTTGAAAATATTGCAGCTCCAGTCTCTTATAGAGTTGTGTTATATATATGCTTTTCATAGTATTCTAAGAAGAAACTAATCTCTTTTTTTTATTAATATATATATAAGATATATTTTATTAATATATTTTATTAATATATATATATATATATATATATATATATATCAATTGTAATTATAATATCAATTGATATATCAATACAGTTTTCTATATTTATTCTATATTTATTCTGTTAGTCATTATAGAATTACTGCCCATATACGAGTTTGCTTTTATTAAATTTTCTTATAAATCGTTCTATCTTGAAATTCTCTATATGTCAATCGAGTATTTTTACATGATTTTCTTATATCAAATTTGTTTAGAAATAAAAATTAAATTTGAGCTATAAAACAACAAAAAAATTAAATTTAATAAAATTAAAAAAGATAAGAGAAATTTTGAAATTGAGAAATTTCATTATTTTCTATTTTATTCTTTTTTTATAATACTATTATTATAATTGTATAATTACATGTAAAGAAGAAAATATATTATAAAATATAGAAAAGGTTATATTATAATTTTTATATTACAGTTATTTGCATGAAATATTGTTTAGAATTTTAGAAAACATTATTTATAAAATTCAAAAATAATATTTGATATTGCTATTTCGCCATTCATAACTCAGTAATGAAAGGTTCTCGCGATTGCGCAGTGAAGCGCATCCTAGCAGAAGCCACTCCAGATTTCGTTCACCTAGCAGGGAACAGAACCAAGAATTGTGCACCTTATATATTATCCTCTGAGAATATTCGTGGTTTCGTAGTTCACATTTCTGTCCACAGAGAGCGGTTCGCTCTCAGGAATTTAAAAATGGATCATTGCTCTTGTTTAATATATATATATAAATATATATATATATATAAAAGTGGGTCATGAAACCTTTTACAATTAGTCTTTTCTCTGTCTGCTATTTGATTGTTTTATTACGTTTTTACAAGGTCAGGTTCTATAATGTAACTTTTAATTTTGTATTTCATATAAAATTATTATTTTAAACATAATAATTTCATATGAAATATTCTTTCTTTGCATTTCTATCATGACATTTCCAACCTTTACTAAAAACCTAAAAATATCCCTCAATTTTTTCTCTCTTCGGACAATTTATTTACATTTATATATAATTCTCTTTATTCTTTTAAAAGTGTACACCGAGAACAAGGTACACGAGTATTAAATGTCAAAAAATGATCGCGCGAATATTATAGTTGTGAATATATAAAAATAAATGCAATATACTATGAATTTTCTACGTTATATACTGAATCAAAATTGCACAAAAGAGGAAAAGAAGAACAAGCCTATGAATAAACATTTCCATCCTTTACTAAAAAAAAAAAATTTAAATACCTCTCAATTTTTTCTCTCTTTCTTCGGGCAAGTCTACATATATGACCAATATGATTAATTGATTCCATCTTTATATATTTATCATTATGTGCTATTAATTAAAGCCGTAGACAATATTAGAAATCAAAGTTGCGCGCAGGAATGGCCATGAGCAGAAACGAATGCGCACTGGTTCGGCCGCCATGTTGGCGCGTGCTGCGTCGTCACTGCTACGTCACTGCTACGTCAAACGCGTCATACGGCCGCCATGTTGGCGCGTGATCGGAGTCATACGCAGTTACACGGATCGTCGTACGTCCGCATTTTTCGCGTCTTTTAACCGTTTTTAAACGAATATCGCGAGTGAACGAGCATCCAAAGTATCCAAGGATGATCGCGCGACTTTCATAGTGTGTCGATGGAAACGAGCGACAGCGATTTTTGACGATATTCAATGATGGCGTCATCGCGAAGATGGAGCGAAGTTGCGTCGCGTTATTCACGCCCTTGATGATAATTATCGGATGCAAGCGAATATCGGGAGTGCCGAATAAAGTGTCGCGCGTTCGCGTTGATGATATCGTGTGCGGTCAAGATCGGAATGAGACGTCCCGAGGCGAGCGAGTGGAGCGGCCTGTGGAACAGCCGATGAACGGTGAGTAGATTTGATTTATCATATTTGCGTGACAATTCGTGCTCATTCGACGCTTATACAGTATCGCGATGTCCCGAATTACGTTCGGACAAATCGGCGCCGCATCATAATTCGATGCGATGCCGTGCAATTCAAATAAAGTCGATCGCGTGAAGATGGTTATGCTAGAAGCGATTTCAAATTTATTTTATATACGCGCAGTGCTGCACAACATATCTCGTAGGGCTGCCAACTGTTAAACGATAAATTTTTTCGATCTAATCTAACCTAACCTAACCTTTCAGTGTCTTTGGATGTCGAATGTAAATACAAGCGTATACTGCCTGGATTTTATCATGCTTTCAAAAATAATATTTAATTATTTCATTAGTGTATTACATTTTATTACGTAGTATATTAATCGTATTAAATGTGTGACGTACAGTTTTACACATTTTAATGAGGAGCATATAATATAATTGGTTAGGTTAGATTAAATTAAAACAAGCTGCTGTGATTCATTTAACGTAATAGGATTAATTTGACGAATGTGCAGCTATTGAAGTTACATAATATTTGTGGACACATTTTTAAAGTAATCATGAGTGTCTTATCTCATCTCGATTACATGAAATTAAAATATAAAATATTTATGTATTCCACATTAATTTATTCATTACAAGTACTATATTACTACATTACAAGTACTTTTCTTATATCTCAATCATATTCAACCATTTATGTCATCGATGAAGCTTTTCATATATCGCAGACAATATGATACTGTATGTGGAATTTTACACAGGTAATACATGGCACAAAAATAATTTGCTCTCAAGTATTGTGTGCATTTCTCAAAAATAAATCAAATTAAATTATTTTCAGAATCCAAACATCACTACATTGCCAGGATTGTATCTTATTATAACTGCGATATTATCACCTTTTAATATGTGTGCGCAGTATTACATACATAAAATATATCAATTTATTTGAAACGTACTGAAATCTTTATCTTATTTATAATATTCATGATATTATAAAAGAAAATTGCAACTCTAATGAAACAGAGCGGTGGAATAATTGGTTGATACTTATGCTGGTCTACAATATTTATCCTTTTTTCACCATTAAACTTTTCGTGCTTTTTTTATTATACAGATGTTATCTGTAAATATAGTACTCGTAATGTTGTTTCTGTATCACTGTAAACATACAAAAATGATAGCATTTGCATAATTATGTTATACTTATATATCGTAAGAAAGAGAAAATAAAATTAAAGTTGAATACTGAATGTGTTCTAAAGTAAATCTCATCTAAATAAATAAATGCATAAATGTGCGCCCCATATTCCTCATGAAAAAAATACATAATATTAATCTTTATGTATTATTATTTTTAGATTTGTTTTTTATTCTTTTAAATTCTAGATGCACTTTTCATTTCTCCTCTCTTTCTTTCCAACTACTAAATATAGATCTATCATTTTTAATATAGATCTGTCATTTTTAGTGTACATTATTGCAGTAAGTGGAATAAAGAGCAAATCTTTTGGCACATTTAAAATGTACAGGAAAGTCAGTTTTATCTGATGCGTTTTTTTCAATAGAAATATCTGAAAAAATTTATACGTCTTTTTAAATCTTAATCTTTCTAAATAAAAATTAGAATAATAAATTTGCAAATTAATTTGCTTTAATATATTTTTATTGCAAACATGAAGCATAGTGCTTAAGGTGCATCACTATGAAAACATCGATAGAATAAAAAGTAGATCGTATACAAAAAAATTAAAATATTTACACTACATATTTGATATAGCATTTAATCGATATGTGCAGTAATACGATAAAATCTAATTTTCTCTCGAATTTTTTCACGAAATTTAAACTGCTAAAAAAATATCAAATATTCAAATTGTTCAATAGTCTTGCGAAAGAAGCAGTTCTCGCTTTTCTAAAGAATCTTTAGAAAAAAAAGTACAAAAAATTCTAAAGGAAAAGAAAGGACAAAAAATTTTAAATCTCACATGGATATTTAATTTTATACTAATATTTTTATTGTAACACTTCATTTATAAAGATTTTATTTTATGAAACGTTTATACATAAAAGTACAATGATTATACGACTACTTTAATCTATTGTTTCATCTTCGCATGATTTTCGTTTATAAAATATTTGTGCTTCTGGATATTTTTCTCTGGAAGGTTTATGCAATGTGTGTATCTTAATCTGTTAACGTACAAGTATTAGAGTAACGGAATAAGCATATGTAATTTGATTAAAAATACGTTTCTTACATGAATTTTTAATTACATATTTTATCATACTACAAATAAAAAAATCATTCTTGCGCGACGTGATTCTAACAATTTACCGACATGCACAAAATAATGACTTTACCGGCAGTCGAAGTATCTAGACTACGTAATTCTGGCGTTTAACGCGAATGCAGATGGCGATACTAAACAGCAAGGAAAGATGGCCGCATGAGTGAAACGCGAGGCGCGAAATATTGCATTTCGTATATCGTTCTTTGCGAAAAAAATGTGTGAAAGTGTTGTACGTATTCGCGATTAACAGTTCGGTATTGATGAATACTAATCGACGCAAGTATAATTTGTCGTGCATTGGATATCTCTTCAAACTCTGTATATGAATCGTTTTCGAATCGTCCTGATCGCACGTTCCGATAACACAATGATCCAAAAAAAATCGTCG